CCCCAAAACCCCAAAACCCCGATATGCAAAATATTTTTCCAAGAATCGATAAAATAAATTAATAAATTATAGGTCTAGTTTTAAATGTTTAAGTTAGGCTAGAAAGATAAATAAATTCAAAAGTAAAGGAATGATGAATAATTACAAAAATGTGAATAATACACGCTATGGCAATGCAGACATCAACCGAAAACTCTCGAATCACACAATCGACCCCACTGCAAATAATCCTGTATAAGTGGGTTCATTTGATTTCTCAAATCCATTATCTTTGAGACGACCATCTGTGATAGATGAAGAGACATACTAGAAAATTTAGCAAATGAAATCCATGTTTTAAAACGAAGAAGATCAAGATCAAGATAGTGGCTATGATGTTAGCTCTCCTGATGAAGATATGATAACCAATACTAAGAAATAAACGCATCTGCCTTCCTTTATGCGCTAAAGAATACAAAGAAAAGAGAGTAAAAACTTTTAAAAAATTAACAGCAAGCCAACATGTTGTTCATGTTGCAAATCCCTTAAATATATATTTTGCTTCTGTTGCTGAAATTCGAAAAAAGTTAAGGACATTACGATTCTGGAAAAATTAAGTAAGCATGGAGGTGAAATCAAAGATAATTTGACTATTAAATCTTAAAATTTACCTTAGAAAAATTGGAAAAAGGTAAAAACAAGAGTCATTTAGCACCTTAAAATGAAGAGAATGGTTGATTACTTGAGTACTAATAAGGACGATGACAGAAGAGACTCAGATGAAGATCAGCCGTCGAGATGTGATAGACTAATGATAAATCCTAACAATAAGAAATTGAAGTATTGGAATTACTTAATTTCGATAATAATACTTATTGACATAATATATGTCATCATCGTGTAAGTTTCTTCAAATTTTATTTTTATTTGCTTATGGCTATCTTGATATGAGTTTCTTCCTATCCTCCATTAGATAATATCCCATCAAATAATTTAATATCTAGTACTGATTAAATTTTAATAGATCTTTTGCTCATGACTATGGTCATCATATGATATCAGTCCTTGACTTTACTTTTATACCTTTTGGAATGGATTTTATGCTCAATTTCTTCAAGATGTATTATTAAGATGTGAATTTGATCAAGAGACCTCGCCATATTTAGATAAATTATCTCAAGTAAGACAAAAATTTAGTCTTTAATTACTTAAACAAGAACCTTTTTGCTGCCAGATCTTGTTGCTTTAATTCCCTATCAGTTATTTTATAAAAGAGTAACATTTTTAAAACTGATAAGGGTCTCAAGATTTACTGAAGCAATAAACAATAGCCTTAACTGTTTGGAAGAAGTTATCTTGTATTTCATGAATGTTAGGAAACGGACCTTGCATAATCTATGCTCATTAATCAAGTAATCTCAAGGTTATGTTTTACTAATTTAGACTGATTATCGTGCTTGCATACATGTGCCACTTCTTAGCAAGCTTCTGGGTATATATTGGATTAGTTGGAGAAGAATAGCAAACTGGCTGGATTGTCAGACTGTAACTTAATGGTATCATTCATAAAGATCCTGCATCAGAGTACATAGCAGCTATTTATTACATATTCGCTACGCTTTCTACTGTTGGATTTGGAGATGTGGTTGGAATAGATCTGTGGGAGTATTGCTTTTAAATTCTTGTTTAAGTAAGATTTTACCTTCTAAATCAAGATTAGATTATTGGTATTGGATTTTTTGCATATATCATGGGTAATCTGCACAACTTGCTCGCGAGCTTTAGCCACAAAGATGCTCATAATTTTCAAGTATATCATAAGTTTATAGTCGGTTTTCAGGACGAAGGATTAGATCAGTGGCTCATTCAGTTGGACCGTGCCTACAAGGAAAAGATTCTAGATTAAGAGGTTTTTATGCAGACTCAAAAATTTTTCAGATAATATGATTCTAAGGCCCTCAATACTCTAAGGAAGTCTCCTTTTTTCATTCAACTCAAACCAAGAATCTAGAAAACGGTAAATTAAGGACTTCTAACATGATCGTTATAGTTGACAGATGTTATATTCGAGGAATTTTATGACATATTTGAGGTGATTTTTGACGGTCTGGAGGAGGGATTCAGAAGGAAAATATGCCAATGCATGAAATTCAAACTCTTTTAAAAGTAATATATCGATAATTCTTCACTTGTTTACGATAGACCGATTCCAAGGAAAAATAAGCAAAATACATTTTTCGAATATGGGCCCAAGATATTTGAAAAGAACAACATTGTAAAAAAAGTTTACTTCATTCTGAGAGGAACAGTGCATCTAACCAATGAAAGTGGAGCGTTTCAATATTTTAAGTTGTCAAGTGGCTCTTACTTTGGAGATATAAATATTCTGCACGATTATCCATCTTCTTATTCTGCTTTGTAATTAAAAATTTTTCCCCAACTTTTAGTTATGATGAAGAAGCTGAGCCTCTCTAGATTATGACAGTTAGCAAAAAGAAATTTCTTTAAGTTTGTGATGAATACCCTCAAAGTAAGAGCATTTTGGATTAGAGAGCTTTTGAAAGGAGAAGAAGATTTAGAAAAGTAATTTTTCCTTTTGGTCAATAGCTACTAATATATTTTTTAGTACAAGATTAAATCCTTAGTCAAAGTAATGAAGTCCTTAGTAAGATCTTATCATTATAATAAGCAATCACCAATTATTGAGAAATCTTTCATAAACAGGCAGAAGCAAGTTGTGTCAATTTACAAAGCACTTTTAAATCATTACTTTCTGATGGCTGCTAACTACAAATAAATAAAGACATCACTATAGTCAATTAGAGAGAATTATCAGGATTCCTCAAGTCAAAGAGGAGATGATACCCACAAATTTTCGAATCATTTGAATCCAGGAGGTACACACAATAACTAGACTAGCAATGGATAAAATTTAGAATTTGAAACTAAAATGGGAACTCACAAGATTCAAGTTGAAGCCATTGACATTTAATAGGAAAATATAGAGCATAATAGAATCCCCCATTTAAGACCAAGATTATCCCACTAAGAGTTAGGAATCAAACCAATCTATTAGACAGATATGGAAGTTCCTTTGACGGATGCAAAAGAATTCTTTAAAAAGAAGTTGTCATAGATGGTCGAAGAAGATTTAAGTTATCAGAATGAGTCTCCAAAAAAGATGTCAGGAGCTTAGGTAATTGAGAATATGAAATCTGTATCAGATTCATCCGACAACAATTAGTAGTTGGGCCATGTTTAGACTGAAGAAAAGTAATAAGAAAAGGTCTAATTTATCACAATGGAGCCTTAAGTTAAGCTTTAGGGCTCTTTAAATATCTAAAAGCAAAAGTCAAACTTCTTCAAGTTCACTAAATAAGAGAAGCGATCAAGACATGTGAGGGAAAGTTCAGATCAGTTACATATAATTGAGTATAACGAGAATGACAGTTTGAATGAGCACAATAAATCAATATCAGCATATATGATGGGCAGTTAAATAAACATAGATTACAGAGGAAACGAAGATGCTAATGTGATTATAGATTCATAACATACTATTGGAAATGAAAGATAGTCAACAGAGAGAGAACTTATTACTGAGCCAAAGATGCTTGCTAATGGAGCTATAATGCAAGAACAACTGTAGATTCTAAGAATTAGTGATTCAGATGAGGAAATAAAGAGTGTTCATTCATAAAGCCATTAACATAGCATTCCAGCATATTAACCTTCTTAAAGAAAGAATGATGAATTAGAATCTTAAACTAATAAAAGAAGAGGTGCTAAATACAAAAACTACAAGCAGAATAGTCAGAGCAAGGAAATCATTCAAAATGAATTGCTAAAGTAGGAGAGAAATCTTTAGAGAATGCTGAGAGGTTAGGGCTAATTTTTACCTTTTGATATTTACAAAAACGAAATCGTATGTGAGTATCTTTACAACTCTGAAGATGAATTCAGATATGGAATGGGGCATGATTTGAAGTCTGAGAGACAGGTGAACGTAGAAAGAAAATTGAATAAATACTGTAATAAAGTTAATGAGGAGATTAGAAGGATGAAGAGGCAAAATGATGAAAATAAGATGAAACTTATTGAAAAACTATACAAGCTAAAGCTTGCAAATTTTAGTCTCAAATAAACTCCAGTATCAAGGAATAAGATAAACCATTTGATACCCTAATGAATATTAAATGACGGCCGAAATTGTATTTTGTAATTATCACATCGTTTAATAATATTTTTATCTATTATTTCAAAACTATGATCATTTTACTTATTAGTTGATATCATAACATGGGGTTTTGGGGTTTTGGGGTTTTGGGG